CACTTTTGCTGTGCTGCAGTCCAAGGGAAGTCCCCGCAGGCGCTGATGCACTGCCCACCTCCAGACAGATTCCAGGTCAAGGCAGTCACCATTGCTCAGCTGCAGGAAATCCCAGTGGCACGGGACTGCCCTGGTCCACGAGCTGTTTAATATCCCATCAGGGTTCATACCCTGAAGCCCCAAGGAGATCAGACCCCAAGACACACCTCAGCAATCTGGAACAAGGTGCAACAGCCTTGCAGAGGATGTGCTTCACCCCTGCTCACTTGCATTTTTCAGGTTGTGCGCTAAAATCAGCTCTCTCCCGCTCTAGTCCTTCATCCGGCCCCTGTCCCCACTGGTCCTGTTTCCAAGCCAGTTGAGGAAATGCAGCACAGGAGCTCCATTGTGGTCACCAGCAGGAAACCAGCTGGAGATGGTTCTGGGAGCTCATTTTGGGGTGGAAAAAGGCAGGTGTTGAGCTCTCAAGCTGAGCACCAATCCAGGCAGGAAACACTTGAAAATGGGTTGAAAAGACAGTTATGGGAACAGTAAGCACACAACTCCAGTGCTCAGCAAACCACCACTTCCCAAAGGCATCGAGATTCAAGGGCCTCAGCACAAGAACTGCTGTTGCAGCACACAGACCCTGAGATATCTATATGAACTACTCAAAGCATGTGTATCAAAGTACCACCAAGGTCAGCTGAAATTAAATCAGAGCCCTCTTGCAAGAATCAGCAGCCCACAGTGAGGCCAGAGCTCAGCTCCAGCCACTTCAGGTCATCAGGACTTGTCCTGCAAATTCCTCCAGCACCTCGTACCCTACCATACAGGAATCCACAGCAGGAGAAATCAAAACTCTTCCCATTTTTTAAACTAGCTACAGCAGTTTCGGGCAATATTCTAGCCACCTCTAATCATGTTTTAACACTTAATAGCCTATTTTACTCTGCTAATCCTCTGCAGCAGCAAGCTCCACCAGCGGGGATGTACATCACCACCAAAACCAGACTGGGGCAGAGCCACGGGCGGAGGGACTGCTGCCAAATCCCTCCCCAGCTGCACCACAAGCACCACAATCAAAGATTTTGGTGCTTCTTCAGGATCAGCCCCTACCCCAAGACAGCTTGACTCTGTCAGTAGAACAAAATCTAAAGAAAGATGCTCTGAGAAAAAACAAACAAACAAACAAACTCACAAACTTTTTAAATTCTAAAGAGAGGGAGAGAAGAGGGCACAGAAAACTCAATCTCTCGAGTCTAGAGCCCTTCCCAAAGCGTCTCCCACATTCAAAATTTATAGACTTGCCTGTTTTCTTTTTTTAATCTATATCTTTGTTTGTAGAGCAAATTCTCTCTGTGGCCATTTCAAAACAAAGGAACCTTTGTCTGTGTTTACTTGACAGCAGTGGATTAGGATAAAATAACTTGCATTTCAGAAGATTTTTTTATGTATTGTTAAGAAGCAAAACCTCTGCTGCATCAAATCACCAAGCAGAGAATCCATCTGAGGAATGATTTCTGGCACACACCAAGTAACTTGATTTTGGAGAGAGCCCCTGAGAAGGGGATTCACATATAAAGATGAAATTTTAAATGGGATTAACTTTTGGACTGTGACATTACCCATTTCTCCTTTTCATGTTCCTGTCTCACATCTATCTTCATTTTGGTTTGTGACCAGCTGCTTGCACAGTTCAGAAGCCAAGAAAGCTCTGGGAAATTCCGGGGCATTTTCATAAGCTTCCACTTGGATTGCAATATCCGAGGTTCAGTGCTGGGCTGGTCAGGACACCCAGGAAGAAATAGGAACGGCCCCAGACTATACTGGACCATGAACTGTGAGCTTTACCACTTATCCACAACCCAACAGGATTTCTCCAATGCCAATGATTTTTAAGTGCTCAGGGGCTGGGTTTGACCCCCGGGCTCTTTGCAGCCACCCCAACCCTGCAGGCATTTAATCGCACTGGCAGCTCCGCTGAGCCCACGGGACACGTGGAAACAAGGACCAGAGCAGAGAGCCACAAAATCCCCTAGTTAGGGCCACAGGAGCAGACCCTCGCTAGCCACAGCCATACCTGACTAAATACACCAGCCATGCTGGTAAAGCAGCCCACACCCAGAGCATATGGGGAGAGGATGCTGCCAGCTTGCAATGCAAAATTAATCAATTAACGAATAATGCTCAAAAGGGCCCATTAAACCCAACGCTTCAACGAGCTCATGCACAGAGGAGAGCGGCGGCAGGGACCAGGCGCCTTCCCCGGGCAGGCCCACCAGTGCATCCCAGAGGGTTTTACACTGGGAGCCCGGTCCCAGGAGACGTTCAAGCCTGGGTTTCAATGTATGGCAGACCTGAGGCCACACACCCAGTAACTCCTCCAAAGCCAACAGCCCTGAATCTGTCCAGGTTTGTGCAAATGCTGGCCCGATTCCCACCATTACTCACATCAAGAGCTAATCAGCCCAGCAAAATTAACCTGGTCCTTTGAGCTTGTCTTCAGACCAGCATTGTGTGCTTAACAGCAACGATAACAACCAGCAATATTTCTTGGGTTTCCTTGGGATCCATAACGCATGTTAATTAAATGCCAGTTCGTTATTCAAACAGACCTACTGAGACTTTGCAGCACTAAGCAGCAGCATATCCATTCCTGTTCCCACCAACCCACACCGACTTCAGCGTGTATTCGGTGCTCCTGCACGTGAGCTCAGCGTCCCCCCAGCCAGGAGGGACCCCGCCTGCCCCAAGCACAGCAGACCTGGGGGTCAGACCAAGCTGCCCACAGCCTCACACCAGCCAGATGTGGTTTAAAAGTCTCCAAGGATGGAGTTTTCCCATCTCACCAGCTTCCCGGAGGCTCTAACTCCCTATTTCCCAGTGGCGTTGCCCAGCATGCATCATCCCTCTTGCCTTTTTCCATGGGTGTGATAGTTGGTTTTTCCAGCCATCAGAGTCTCCCCCCAACAGCCACAACCTTTCAAAGGTGACAGAGTGGGCTCTGAAGTGACACTGGCCAGCTCCTGGCCAGCCCCAGTCTTGTCCATGCTCTGAGGTCTTGGTTCTGCTCTGCTTTCGGGGTTTCTCACCCCGTGTAGCTGTGTGCAGGGAGCCCTGCTGAGAACAGCCACATCTCCATGCGGGACAGCCAGTCCCTATGTACCAGTATCACAGGAAAGGCTGAACCCTAAAAGCCTGAACCCACTGTTAGACAGCTAGAAAAAGCCTCTCGGGTTGTGCCTGCCAAGTCCTGGGGACAAAGAATACAACCTTCTTCCAAAACAGCATCCTTCTTCCAGAGACAGGAGAGAGGATGCTTTGTGTTTCAAAACAGTGTGCAAGACCATGAATGAACCAAATCTTCACACAACAAGCAACACAGCAACAGCCAAATTTGCAGCAATTCATCTGGAAGCAATACCTTGCTTGGCAAATTTATCCAATAAAGGGGAAAAAAAAAAAGGTTTTACATTTAATTTCTGAGCTTTCTAACAAAGCAGGACTTGCCTCAGCCAGTTACAAACCTAAGAGACTAAAAGCCTGAAAAATTAGCGGACCTAAGTCATAATTTATTTCTTTTTCTTCTTTAAATGAGACCAGCCAGCCATTACCAGAAGCGACATCCAGAGCTGCGCAGCCTCAGAGCATCTCTCCTGACCAGCAAGGCAGGCGCTCAGAGCACGGGCCCTGGCAGAGCCAAGGGGGCCCACCACGACCCGGAGCTCAGATGCAAGAGGGTGAATCCATTTACACACCTTGATTTAATCCCCTAAAGCAGTAAGCGTGGAGAACTCAGAGGTGTGGGAGCCTGAAGAAGGAGGTTTCTTTTGATCCAGCTCCAACACTGTGCTGACATTGTGCCCAATAGACAAGAGACACACAAGGATGGGAATTGGTGGACTTAAAGATCTGGGTTGAATCGATGACAAGTATAACGATGGGGACCACTATTCCACTCCAAGGCATCCCGAAAGGGGATAAAGATGCTGAATAATTGTATTTTTGCCATCATTTCACCACAACTTTAGAGTCCTCTCGGGTGGGACCAGGGACTTCTGCAGGTTTCTGGAAACCATTGCTGATGTTTGCAGCACGACCTGTGCCACCGCACAGCTCGGGCTGGTCCCACAGTTAATCAGTCCCTCTGCCTTTCTTCTAGTTCTCTGCAAACTCCCTGGGGGCTCTGGGGCTCTCCTGGGACAGAGGGCAGCTGTAACAAGTGAAACCTTTTATTCCAGACTTAGGAATCTTTTCAGGGCCCATATCCTCAAAAGCCAAATTTGGAGAAGGCAGTGGTCTGGGGGATCCTGCCCAGAAAAGCCAGGGCAAAGCTCAATTCAGTGCAGCAGCATCCTCCTAGAGCAAGGGTTTCCCACCATGGAAGCCGTCTCCTGTACTGACTGCACAGCTCACCAAAAAAGGTGTTTTAAAAAATGTAACAGAAAGCACGCTTGCTGAAAATCAGAGTATTTCTCTTCTACATTCCAGTACCTCCAAGAAACCACAAAGGCCTTCTATTTTTCCTGTCCCTAAGGAACAGTTTCCACTCCCTACAGACCAAAACTGCCCAAAACCACTGAGCACTCCAACCACTTGAGCCAAATCCTCAGCACATCAAACCGGGTGCAGCCCATGCAACCCACACCACCACCACCAGTTGAAGGTCTGATTCCATCAGTCCCAGTCACCGGTGTTTTCCCATCACTCTGCTCAGAGCCAGGGTCAGCATCCACACTACGGCACACACGAGCCCACCGTGCCCGTACACCTCTGGGTGTGAGCACAGCCAGGTTTTAGCCACGTGGCTGCAAAGTGCCCCGTGCCACGGCAAGAAGGGCCAACAGGACCCTGAGCCATCCTGACATCCCTGGAACGGGTCGGGAGGGAGCTTTGGGAATGGAGGCACCCGAACACCATCCTCCCTGCATCCCTGGTGCTCATCAGCTCGGCTGAACCATGCGTGTGGGGGTCATGGAGCATCACACGGGACGGGACGGGCACGGAGCTGCACTTACCTTCGGTCCGGATGGTGAAGGGCGAGTCTCCCAGGCGCTTGGCTGAGAATTGCCCTCCCAGCGACGTCATCAGGAAGCACAGGGTGAAAAATCCAATGCCCAGCACAAATATCCTGTGGGAAGAAGGAAAGCAGAGCTGTAACGAGGAACCAGTTCACTCCTGGGACAGCGCCACCACCCTTTTCCCCCCTGGGGTGACCCCTCCACACAGCAGCAGGAGCTGCTTTGCTTTGGGGTGTCAGGAAGACACAGCTGGGACAGTCCCTGCCTCCTTCCCAACTGCTCCATCCCCGTGGCTCACCCCATCCAGCCCAAGCAAGGAGCACCTCTGCGATCCCAGCCCCACGAGAGCACCCCAGTACCTCACCCCAACCACGGCCAGACCCACACGTGCTTCATCAAGAGTCACAAGATGCTTCTGTGCAACCCTGGCACCGAGCAGGAGGGTTTTCCCTGAGAACGCCCTCTGAAATCCCTGCAGCCTGCTCTGATGGGCAGACCTCGGGAGGGAGCGGAGGACTTGCACCTCAAGTGGGAAAGCTGAGCCAGACCACGACTGCTCTGACGATGCTCCACTAGATCCAGCCCAATAACCCAGACCACATGAACTACTACAATAAACAATACCCATTTTTCCCCTGGGAGAGCCCAGAGAAAAAACTGACCTTGTACCTTCCCTTCCTCCCAAAGGATCTGAAAAAAAGCCTTTTTTTTTTTTTTTTAAAAAAAAGGTCTTTTGTTCCCTCTGTAACTAGGCCACCGGTATTTCTCATTGTGTCCAGCATCACCTGCGCAGCGTGGGCAGCCCTGTGCACAGCAGGACGAGGAAGGGACCCACGCCTGTGGCACACACAGTGGCCTGGGACCATCCCATTGCTGCTTTGTACGTCTGAGCTGGCAGGAAAGTGGGTCCCACAGGGACACAACAGGCAGGATGCCGACCCGCACGTCGCTCCCAGCTCAGCTCGTGGTCACCTCCAGCTGTGAGAGAGGCAGGAGCTCTCAGCACCACCCCTATTCAGGCCAGTAACTTTTTGAGGGGTGGAAAGGCTGAAGGCAGGAGCTCTGTGCAAGCAAGAGGGTTATTGTGCCCCATGGAATGTAAAGCCAAGCCTTCCCATCTCCCTGGTGTGCAAGAAGAGCACGCTGTGCCAAGGGACAGATGCCCAGCCTCTTGCACTGCTCAGAGATGCTGCCGTGGCCTCCAAGGCTCCGTGGAGGTGCAGGATCCTCCAACAGACACACGGGCAAAGCCCCAGCAGAGCCGCTGCCAGGCACCGTGTACGACAGCTCCCAGAGCCGTGGGGATCCCAGGCAGCCAAACCCAAAGAAAATTTCAAGGAGGAGAAGGAGGAGACAACTGCCAGCCAGCTTTGTGAAACAACGAGTTTGTCTTTAAACAGATAAGTCCTATGTGGGATAGGGAGCTGGGTAAGCCCTTAGGGGTACCCGCTGGCATTTCTGCCTCGCAGCATCCAAGCCAACGAGGACAGGAACCAGTAGCTCTCCTTTACAAGTTCACAGCATTATCCACGGGGCTCAGGAGCAGCACACAGAAACACAGCACAGCCACCCAGCACTGAAACCAGGCTTCTGCAGAGAAAGGTTTGCAAAGGAACACCACAGCTCTCCATCTAATCATTATTGTAGAGTTAAAAGGCAGAGGATTAGGAGCCAGCCATTAAGTCTGGGCTACAACATGCCAGCATTGCAATTATCTGTTGCTGGAAAAGGCTGGCAAATGAAGTAACTTGCTTCAAAGCACTCATTAGCTACAGGAAATGTTGTGGAGAGCTGAAGTACAGCATCAAGCAGCTCAAGAAGGACTGGGTTTCCCCAGGGAGATCTACTGGAGGAGCTGCCAGAGCAGGTCCCTACTGTCCCAGCACAGCATGGACAGGCTTGTCCTGCCCAAGGAGGCTCCTGGGCAAGACATGGCACCTTCATGGGACCTCACGAGCTCCCTACCTTCATCCCACCAGCTCCAACACTGCTCTCACACAGCCAACGCACACCCGAGCCCCAGACCCAGGGCAGCTTTGCTCACTGCATCGGACAGCTCAAGAGCAAAGGATTTTCTCTGCCTGCTCCAAGGAGGGTGCAGATGAGCATCTAACCCCCATCCATCCCCCCCACCAAATCAGCTTTGCATCAGCACCAGCTGGGTCCCAGCAGATCCAGGTCACTCGGCCATGGGCTCTGGACAAGCAGCTCCCAATCCCCTTCTCACCTAATCAAGAGAAAAAGCAACACCCTGATCTTATTAGCATTAACAAGCTCTGCCAGCAGCACGCTCAACAACAGCACAAACGTTCACTAACCCTTTTTCAGCCCCACAGCCGGGCAATGGGAGAGCTGACCCACCTGGGAGAGGGGATGTTCAAGTGCACCAGTAAAACTGCCTGCCATCCCTCTGCAGGCCCTCCAGGAGTGAAGCAGCTCAAGTCCCTTTTATTTCTGAATGAGCCTGCCCTGGGGGGTGGAAAGCAGTTTAAATAAACTATGAAAAGCATTGTGCACTTGGCTAATCCAGACTCCCCTCCCTAAAGGCCTGGCTGTAAGCATGGTTGGCATGCCCTACAAGCAACCGCCGGCAGAGCACAGCCATCCCCTCCCCAGCAGATGCTGATGAACCATCCAGCTGCCGGCATCTGCGCACAGAGATGACTACGGGCCTCAGCCCCTCTCCCAGAGCAGACCTTGGAGATGGGTTTCCAGAGAGCTGTGGTCCAGCTCCAGAAGGGAGGTGATTGCAGAGGCGGCAGAGCATCCCTGTGAAGGAACATGGTGTCCCATAAATTGCTTGGAGAGGGAGTGATTTGGGGACATCAGTCCATTGCCATTATCACACCCTGCGCCCAACCACACAGCACAGTGCTGGGTCTGGAAGAGGCTCTTGGAAACATAACGGAGGAGATTGCAGCATCCAGCTCAGCCTCAGAGAGCTGAATTTGTCCTTAGAGCAGGAGGGGGGGGGAAACACTGTCTGCTGTGGCACCTCCCTGGCCAGAGAGGACAACAGCACAGTGGAGAAGGCACATGCTGGAGGACATCAAAGCCCAGCCATGCCCCACAGCCAAGGGTCCTCCCTGGGAGCACGTCATGGTAAAAACCCACCTGAAGGCCCCATCCTGCTGCCAGCTGCTCCCTTCCCCAAGGGGCACTTTAACGAAGCATCACCTGATTAAATAATCAAATCTGATCCTGCTCTTCATTCTCACCCTTCCTACTGACAATATCTTCATCATTATGCAAGACCTTTTTTAATGCATTTTAATCTTCATAATTATACTCTAGCAAGGAGTGGTTGTTAAACACAAGAAGAAAAAGAGGAAGGAAAGAACAAGAAAGAGGAAGGAAAGAACAAGAAAGAGGAAGGAAAGAACAAGAAAGAGGAAGGAAAGAACAAGAAAGAGGAAGGAAAGAACAAGAAAGAGGAAGGAAAGAACAAGAAAGAGGAAGGAAAGAACAAGAAAGAGGAAGGAAAGAACAAGAAAGAGGAAGGAAAGAACAAGAAAGAGGAAGGAAAGAACAAGAAAGAGGAAGGAAAGAACAAGAAAGAGGAAGGAAAGAACAAGAAAGAGGAAGGAAAGAACAAGAAAGAGGAAGGAAAGAACAAGAAAGAGGAAGGAAAGAACAAGAAAGAGGAAGGAAAGAACAAGAAAGAGGAAGGAAAGAACAAGAAAGAGGAAGGAAAGAAAAAGAAAGAGGAAGGAAGGAAAAAGAAAGAGGAAGGAAAGAAAATTCATCACCTGGGCACAGTTCTGGTGCCAAGTCCCTCTCCACATCCTTCCCAAACTGAAATGTTCACAGTTCTGGGTTCTGGCTTGGTGCCCAAAAGAGAAGGAAGCCAAATCCTCTGAGCCTTTAGTGAAAATTGGAAGTGATGCCCCAGTCATTGCAGATTGTGGCCCATGGAAGTGAAAGCTGGATGCAGCCAGGAGGGTCTGAGCGATGAGTTGGGAGGTGATGGGGAGAGGGTGGCCAGCAGCACCCAGCTGGACAGGGCTGTGACACTGGGACTGTCTGTCCATAGCGCTGCATCACCCAGCTGGGCCCCACAGCAAGAGTATTACACAGGTGCATGGGGAAACCAAAGGCTACAGAGACTCAGAACATCCTTTACTAGACAAGTTTTCAACACCAAAGTCTCTTGTGCCCAAAAGCTGCGCCACAATTTCTAACAGCAGCAGCAGTCGGGCTAATAAAAGATGCTCCCTCTCCTGCAAACCTTGTTTTGCTCAGAGCCCGACACCGTCATGCTGCTGTTGAAATGATGCGCAGCCACAGGAATCATCCTCCACAAAGGGGACCAGAGTGAATTCTCTTACTGGCCAATGTTCCCGGCGCACAGAAAGCCTGGCTTTGGTTTCCAGCTGGCAAACGCCTGAACTCCCCATCTTCAGCACAACCAAGAGCTGGATAAGTTGGACCAGGGCTCCACAGTGAATACTTGCCTAAATCTGGCCCTGTCACAAATTAAACACCCTTTGCTGCTGAGATGAAGTCAGAGCCATCCTTGGGTGTTTCTACAAATGGCTTCTACGCTGATTTGCTCCCTCTCCGTATTTGCTGCAAGCGCTTTCAGAGCTCAGGGCTTTGCATTGCTTTGCTAAACACGTCTGGAGCATGGTTAATGAAATGTTTTGGTGCAAGGGGTCAGGTTTCCTGTTCGCTGATGGCACCACAAGTTTACACCAGGCAGGAGCTCACACCATGGGCTTCCCTAGAGCAGCGAGGCTCTTCCCAGCCAGCAATGAGCACCCAATTTACAGGACCCATCCTGATTGCCAGTATCTTCTCCCACTCCTGTAGGTCATCCCTGATTCACACCAGCTGAGAATGTGGGATACTGGTTTTAGGGGAGCAGTGCTGATTTGCACCAGGTTACAGCTGGAGTGGGGCAGTGCCAACGCTTGCGCACGCTGGGCTGGCAGCAAGGGGACACGGGACCGTGACATGGAGGGGTCATGCTCAGCGTGACACCAACGTGGAGGGAGTGCGGAGCTGGACACTGCAGGACAGCTAGGAGAGGGTCTTGGGAATTCCTCCTCTTACACAGGGAAAGCTTGGCTGGTCAATAGCTGGTTCCAGTGGCACCCATACTGGTCTGCACTGGTTTGAGAGCAGAAGCCAGCCCAGGGCACACAAACAGGATGGTGCAGGTACTCTGCCGTGGATATCGGGGACCTTGCAGCCTGGTGCTCTCCTGTCATCACAAACCCCTCGCTCACACACATCCCAATCTCCAGGGGGACTTTGTGACTCGCTCCCTGAGCCCGATCCCAGGTCACTGATGAAGACGGGCTTCCCCTGCCCCCGGGGTGATGCCCAGGGCACGGGGGAGAGGGGTGCTCAGGCCAGTCACTTCCTCACTACAGACTTCAAAAACCCACTTAAGAAAGCAAATAGCTGAGCAAAGAGCGTACCCCTGGGGTGCGTGTGTCCTTCCCACCTCTCTCACTGTCATTCCCCACCCCACGCTCGCAGCAAGCCCAAGCCATGGGGACCCTCACAGCCCAGCTCCACCACCGCTTTCCACCATCCCCTCGGCCAAGTTCCCCAGCCCCAGGGCACTGCCGCGGGATCCAGCAGCAGGAGTCCCTCCAGGCAAGCAGGGAAGAACGTGGCAGCTCCCGGGGAGAGGCAGACAACATCTACAAACCTGAGTGCAAGTGGCACAAGCACAATCCCATCTTCCCTTCCAGCTCCGGGCGGTAGCCTGGGCTAAACCAAAAGGCAGCGGGCAGATCCCAGGTGAGTCCTCAAACACAGCGGGGAGCGCTGACAACCACCTGGCTGGGCTCACCCCACCCTGTGCTTTGCCCATCTGTGGGTTTTTGGTCCCTCTCCCCATGGGAAAACCAAGCAATTGGCATCTCCCATGTGTCTCAAACCTGGGAGCAACCAAAGCGTATCTCCGGTGAAATAAGGAAGCTGGAGAGCAAGGATTGAAGAGGGGAAGCGAATGTATGGAGGCAAAAATGGGGAAGAGTTACACCAAGGGGAAAATAGCAATAGGTGAGCACAGTCGTGCTGGAGCCAGAGGGTTTCAGGCTTGAATATCAACCCCAGTCCGACTGCCAGTTCAGGGTGGGTTTCAAAATCCCCGTGAGCACCAGCAGATTTAAAGCAGAGGAACAGATTCCCCGCAGGTACCAAGATCTCCAAGAAGGATATTAAAAAAAGAGACGGAGGCAAATAGCCCTGTAATTAACCCCCAAAAGATACCGGCGTGAGGAGCGAGTCAGGAGCCATCAGGCAGCGAGTGCTGCAGGACCAGCACGCTGACCTGCGGGCAAACTTGCCTGGATCCCCGACATCCTAATCTGGGCTCAATCCCCCCCACCCCACGGCGAGCTGCAGCCTCCCCACGCAAAACGTGCTCCGACAACCGCTTCCCACCCCGCAGGGACCGAGCAAGGCGGGGGAGAGCCGGCAGGAGGGACAAGAAAATACCAACTTTACCTAAAGGGTCTCAAGGTGACGAGGCATCTTCTGACCATTATCTTCCCATCCGCGTTGACTGTGATCATCGTTCAAAGTTGCGGGGGGGAGCGGGGAGGGGCGGCCCCCGCACCCCCCCCACACCCACCCACCCACCCAGCCGCTCAGCGGGGGGAGCGCGGGGCTCCGCGGGGGCGCATGGCCGGGCGCGGAGCAGCTCCCCGCCCGCCCTCAGCCCTCCCCGCTGCCGGCCGAGCCCATCGCCGCTCCGCTCCGCGCAGCCCGTGCGGGGCGCCGCGCCCTGCCCCGCGCAGCCCCGCGCAGCCCCGCGGAGGCAGCTCCGCCCCGCACCGCCCCGCGGAGGCTGCGCTGGGCGCGGCGTGCCATCTAGCGGCAGCCCGGCTGGGGAGGGGGGGGGGGGGATACCCGGGGAGAGGGGGATGCTGAGCAGAAGGCGGGGGGACGGCGGGGGGAGAAGGACCGTTTCGCGGGGGGGGGGGGGGGGGGGGGGCGGCCGCACCCCGGGGCAGGTGACAGCCCCCCCAGCGTGGTGACTTCGGGAGCTGGGGACGGCCCTTTGTTGAGAAAAGGGGGTGGGGGGTGTCAAAGCACGCCACCGCACAGCCCCTCCCGCGGGGTCTGTTTGCTTTCGGGGGCTGCGAGGAGCAAGGCGAGCCCCGCTTCTGGGGAGGGGGGGCGGGGGGGGGGGGGGGTCTGGCTCTGGCAGCACCGCCCTGCGGCTTTGCTTCCCCATCACCCTGTTTTCTTTGGCAGGGGGTGGGGGATTGTCACAGTCACGGCCCACGACGTGGCTTCCCAATGTCCCCAGGCACCCCTGGGTGCTGCCGACGGGACCAGGGTGGCGTGGAGGGGCCGGGGCGGGGAGACAGGGAAGCGTCCTTGGGAAGACAAAGAAGAGGCCATGAGAGCTGAGACAGGAGAAGCAGCTGCTGAGCTCAGCAGAGGTGTTCCCGGCTCATGCATGAGAGGTGACAGGCACAAAAACCTCCCAAAGCTTGGGACTTAAAGGAGCCAAATGTACACAGAGCCCCGAGGCACCCCGTTTCCAGCCCCCGATTCGAGGTGCGCCCCACCAGAGGTGAGGGAGGGGATGCATCGCCCCGTGAACACAAAATTGCAGAGAGCTGGAAGGAGTCTGTGGTCCTCGGGCTCTGGGACAGGCCCAGGCTCTCGTCTTGGGAGGGGGGGGTGGCTGTGGTGCAAACAGGGCCCCCTCGTGCCATGCTGGCCCCGTGGCTGCCCGTCGCTCTCTGCGCTTGGTACCACCGTGGGCACCATAAAGCACAGGGTGGCACTGGGGAAACCTGCCCCTTTGCCTTCCCCATGGTGGGATGCTCTCCTCCAGGGTCTTTCCCAGCCCTTCTCCATCCTGCTTGCTTCCCAGGCAAGAAATGTTCCTCCATCCCCAACAACCCTGCACGGCTCAACCATCTACCTTACGAGTGCTGTGCAATTACAAGGCCCTCCCAGCACCAAGCAGCCACCCCTTCTTTTATAAACCAGCTGTGGGCTCTCTGCTTTTGCAGAATCCCAGCGTTTTCCCATGAGGCTGATGAAGAGGAAATACCGTATTATGCCTGTTGTCATACCGTAACTCCGATTTCCATAGGGATCCCAGGCACTCACTCTACTTCCTTCTCCCTGATGGAAACCAGGGGTGGCTTCGGTCAGCAGAGCTCCAGGTAGCATATGCTGCAACAGCATCAGCCACAGGCGAGCTCAGAGATGAAACACAGCTGGAAATTTTCCACGAAACAGCAATTTCTCCCCATGAAACAGCACTTTTTGCTGAGGAAAAGTAAGAAGAAAAACCATATCCTTTAGTGTTTCATATATACAAAAGGAATTTTGTGTTCATCCACATTCTTCATGGGCTGGGAACAGGGAAGGAGTCATTGCCGCACCAGTTCTGAGCAGGATAATACCGGGCTGAGGCAGATGGACACACAGACTGAGGATTTGCAGAAAGTGTGGCTCAGAAGCAGCAGTCAGCACCATCGAGCCAAATTCAAACCCTTAGGTCAGTTCTCCCTGATCTTCAATACAGGCAGCTCAGCATCTTGGCAAGGGCAGCGCTCCCCGAAGCCCGTCCCCGGGGACACTGGACATCCCCATGCAGACCCCCTGGGCTGGACAGACACCGAACTCCAGCCAGGGTGGCTCAGTCCTTGCCATTTTGGGTGCAGTTGGGAGTCTTCTGGCGCATCTGGCCTCTGGAAAAAGTACCTGGTTTTCTTAACCTGGATTTTGGGCAGGGAGGGAAGCAGCAGACTGATGAAGGTGCTGTGGGCATCCTGTCACCCCTGATCTCTTTGCTCCTGCATGCTTCCCCCATTTACATTTCCAGCTCCTGCTCCTCTGACAGGTGACCCTTAGTCCCCATCGGAGCTGTAAAACCACCTTAAAACCAGGTGTTTCCCCACTTGCTGCTCTCAAGAGCACTGAGCCAGCCAGCAGCAGGAGGCAGACCCTTTCACTCGGAGACCAGCTCAGCATGATGGGGCTGGAAACCCTCCTAATGCACGTAAACACACAACATGAAGTGGTCAATGGAGCAGCCAAATCACTGCCTCCAGCATGCCAGGAGCCAGCTGTGCCTTCCTGAGAGGCTGGAGGGGAAACAGAGCATCCTGTGCCAGGGAGTGAAGAGCAGGGGGGCTACAAGAGTTCCAGTGTGAGGTGAATTTTGCTGTGGGATGGGACCCCCCTCTCACCTCCGTAAGGGTAGCGCCAAGGTCCCTCTGCACATCCCACAAGTTCTGGGTGGTGCCAAGTGGTAGCTCTTCCCTGAGGCCAATGGCAGCAGCATCCTAGCAGGAAAAGGCCGGGGTATGGCGAGGCAGGACACATTAATTTTGTAAGACTTAGGGGTGAGGGTCATCGCAGGGGAAAAGGGACCGGGGAGGAGATGGTGCCCCCTCCATGCATCCCCCCAGGGCTGACCCCAGGCTGGAAATGGCTCCCCAAGGACCTGGCCATTTCTCCAGCAGGCAGAAGGCAGCTCAGCCACTTTGGCTTCCTCCAAGTCCCTGCTACAGCAGCAGCCAGCAAAAAATAAAAAATAAATTAAAATGCAGAAATCTGCTCTTGGCAATCCCCATTCAACAAGCTTTTATTTTGGCTCCAATCAGCATATTAGACGGCAACTCTGCATTATCCTGCATGGTAGCACTCAGACATTAGTGAGGTAGTAACAGCCCCATTAGCAATGTGCAAAACCCCATAAACCCGGCAATTAGCGGGGGAACCCCGATGTGCAGGGACAACTCCGTGGCCAAGCGAGGGAAGGAGTGGGGGAGGCCCCCAGAGCCCACTGCTCCCCTTGCTGCAGGTCTCCTGCCTCTCGTTGCAGAACATTCAGCCTCAACCCGAGTCCATGAGGCTGCGTGGGAGAGGGATTGTCCGGAGATGGGGAAAGGCATCTCCCACAGCCACAGCCTGGGAGGGTGCTGGGGTTAGCAGGGAGCAATTGCTCTCGCAGTGCTGGCCGGGGAGCCAGGCAGAGGTACCTCTGCTGCTCTCAACTCCTGCCAGTGACATCCCATGCAGTGTCCATCACCCCGCGGATGAGAATGTGGCATTCGCTGACCCCCCGGGGCCCCTGTCCCCGAGGAGAAGTGTTGCAGCAGACAGTCCCTTCCCTGTGCTGCTGCTTGAAACAGAAGCTTAATTAACTGCCAGTTTTCTGTCTGTTGAACGGGATAAATCTAAAATCCAAGGATGGTAATAAAGCTGTGAATTATCTTCTTCAGCAGCTGAGAAGCAATGGCCCCAAAAATCAATACAGTGAAGTTATATGTACACACACGCACACACACACACGTGTATATATTTGTTATTATTTCAAATCAGGCAGCAGCAGGGAATAGAGAGAACCAACGCAGCAGCCAGGTGGTATGAAAGAAACCAGTTTTCCAACAGTTAGAGCCCCTGCCCAGCCAGAGGTAGACATGGAGCATTGCTGGTAGAGGCTCCAGCCAGCCACCTCCACAGTCGTGCCAGTAACCCGGGGCAGAGCCACGGCTCCAGCTCCAACACCAATACATCTTCCAGCAGCCAGGACTCACCCTGTGCCACTGGCCCAGCAAAAGACCTCGAGGATTTTTAACTGATCTTTAGTAACCCTGTTACCATGAGTCCCAAAGCTCCCTAACCCAGCCACTGCTGGGCAGAACATGATGGATTAGATCACCACAACTGGGGAAAAGGGGTTATAAATGCAAGGTGGGCTGCAAACCACCATAGATAAAGCTAAAATTATCATGTTCCAGTAAAGGGCACAGACTGACAGTCATCACTGCTCAGCTGCAGGCAGCACAGCCACGGGTACCTCTAGACAAGTCACAATGACTGCATTTATGTTGGCTTTTGGCGAGTGATGTCCAAGTGCTGCCAGGGCTCCAAAGGCAACCCAGGACCCTCCAGAGAGTCCCTGCTCCAGCCCAGAACCCTCTTTAATGCTTTCCAAAGCCTGGGGCTCAGACTCTGCCCATGTTTCTTCTTGGAGCCTCCTCTCGAGCCTCAAGCTACTGGGTCTTCATGGAAAAATAATGATCACAGAGGAGGAGAATCACAGCAAACCACTGAGTTGTAATGTGCTATGACAAGCTACTTTCTCAAGTTCTCCCCGCACACACTTTTGCCCTTGAGATAAGAAATATAATTTGATTGCAGGAGTTGCAATGCCTAAATGCTTTGGGCATAAGATCACTTAGTCACAGTAACTTCTCCATCCCCCTCAAGCGACATTGCTGGGTACAAGGCACTCTTTATTGATATAAAACAACTTCGCTCCATCACTGGCTCAGCCTCAATTACTGCATTCACGCCTCTGTCCATCTCTGTAGCAACAAGGCGGTAAGGCTTCAAGCCTGGTTCTGATCTCCCGCGCCAGCGAGCATCCCCAGCCGCCCCGCCGGCACAGAGCTGCCAGCACCGTGGTGTGCTCTGGCCGTACCGGGGGCTCCTGGACAGGCAGCCCTGCTCTACCCCTGCAGCGGATCCAGGCTTTCTGCCTATTCCCAGAGACATCAAAAACAGCCCTAAATTTGCTCCTACGTTGATGTTTGGAGAGGGCACTGAGCAAAGAGCAGGGAGGGGGTTGGCAGTGTCCTAAAGCCGCCTTTGCATCCCCACCCACAGGGAGCCCAGGAGCCACACGTGTCCCCAGGACCACTGAAGGGGGGACCAAGAAAACCTGGGAGGGGTCGTGGCTGGTGGGACATCTCCAACAGCAAGCAGCTGCCAGCACACTGAAGCCGTGAGTGTTGAAGACTTACCCTCTG